AAGTGTTGGCCTTCAAGTATGACTAAAAAATCAGTTATAAAGAAAAGGTTTGATAATCTCAAAGACTTTTCCAAATACTTCATATGAAGCAAGGTTATGGAGAAGACCAGCGCGCTAAACTTTATTCAAAGCTTTAGATATGTTAAGAGCAATAGCTCTAGCCTCGTTGCCTCCATCCAATGCACGCTAAAATCTTTCAGTCTTTGCAGTTAGCAAGTCAGTCATAGAGCAAGAGGATCGAAAATTGTATTGATTGACAGTAAGTTGTTTGACTCAAGATGGGATGGGAGAAATGTGTTAATCAAAGACTCTAAGACCTTGTTAATAACAGAAAGAAGACTGATTGTTAATAACAGAAAGAAGACTGATTGGAAAATAATTAAAGAGGTCAGAATGTTCTCTAGAGTTTTTAAAAATTGGAACAACAGATGGATGAAAACAACAGATGTCATTTTCCAGCAAGTAGGAATACAAGACTCAGTCAAGCACTTATTAAATGGTTTAGAGAGAATTAAAGAGAGTTCTGGAGAACAATTTATAAGGCTGTGACAGGATGCTGTCATGGACCACAAGCCGTAAAAGAGTTTAATTGAGATATAGCTTTAGCAACAGAAGCTGGAGTGATTTGAATGTCTAACAATGGGTTAATTTGTTTGGAATTGGATGAAGAGAATGGCCATAATTGGAATTTAATGAAGAGAACAGCTATAAGATTTAAGAGTTGAATTAAAAGAAAAGACCGAAATTCTATTTCAGAATTGGTTTTGGCCAAAATTTCAATTTGAACGGATTAAATCGACCGAAATTCTATTTCAGAATTGGTTTTGGCCAAAGTTTCAATTTGAACATATGCCAAAATTTTGGTTTCGGTACTTTTTATAAATTCTGTAAAAAGCAAAATTTTGGTTAAAAAACATACAGAAAACAGGAAAGTTTTTAAAATTTTAAATTTTTATCTAAATTAGAAAAATTATTTTTGAGAATTTTAACAAAATATTTTACTATTTCTAAATGAAATTTTTAGCCCATTGTTCACTAATTACTTTTTAGTTACTAAATAGGGCATTTTTTTTAAATATCAAAACTGTAAATAATAAAGCATTTGTAGTGTGCATAATTTGACTGATAATGTTTATTTAAAGTTTAAGTCTTTTTTTTTTTTGTACATTTAATAAAGTGAACAAAAATAACAATAGAGGTTTCTCACCCCTTCACCAATATTAACTGATGTAGATTATTTTCAACAGTTAAAGATATACTGAAATAAACAGATTATTACCATATAACCTCAAAAATATCTGCTAGTTAACTTTCGGTAACTTACATCACCAACTTATGTATTAAATCACAATTTGTGAAACACATGTAATCAATTATAACATAATACACCTATTAAAAAAAAAATGTAAAATTGCATTTTTAAAATATTTAGTAAAATATTTGCTGAAATGTCAATTTCGGTTTTAAACTAGAGTATCCGAAATTTCGGTTTATTTTGGTTTTGGTTTTTTTTCTGTTTTGGTCAATCACTAATAAGTGCTGTTTATTGTGCACATATATACTTTATAATAAAGTTGGATATATAGTTGAGCTGTCCGATTTAGGTCTTCCTTTGAGGGATCAACCACTTTCAAATTTGCATTTAAAGTCTGCTCTTGAGGGGTAAAGTATCCGTTCATAACGTAAGTCATGCTAAATTTATCTTTTAAATAGAAACAGAAAATTTTATGCTCTTTAGCGCAGAGTTTAGCCTCTGACAAGAGAGCTAATAATCTCCTACTTTTATTTCAAAGTTGAATTTGGCATGACATACTTTATGGATAACCCCTAAGGATCAATTGTATTTTTGAAGTACTATTTTGAATTTTTTATATTTGATTATTTTTATTTTGATATTACCTAGCAGTAAAATTTGGAAGATTTTGAAACTCTAATAACAGGTGTGTGTGTGTGTGTTTTTTTGTTTTTTTTTGGGGGGGGGAGATTTTATTACTTAGACCACTGTTAAAACCTGTATTGCAAACTTAAGAAAAGAGTTGGCTGAAATATAAGGGGTGTGCATAGAGGGCACTATACCCACAACTCCCATATACCATACATCTTTTTTTATTAGCAAACTAGGATCTTTAGTCAGAGTTTTAACTTTTCTATTGGTTAACTAGTTAACTGTGATAAATTACAAAAATTAAGTACGTACTTTTGAATTGAACCTTACCACCTCCCACCCCCATATGCTTTCGTCTGCTATTTGAAGACCTCCTTTCTCCCTCCCCTACACCTTATCCTCCTTTGATAAATGTAATACATTTATCAAGCTATATTATATGAAAATAATACAAATAAAAAATTTAAGTTAATTAACAACTTTTTTTTTTTTTTTTTTTTTTTAGGTTGCAAAAGGCAAGTATTTTCTTCTTTAGTTTTAAATTGTTTCATTTAAAAAGATATTTTTGCTAACTACTACATTGCTTAGTTGAAAGTCTGCAATTGCACAAACTTTTGTAATTTAGAAAAAAAGGTAAAAACTAAAATATTAAATTATTTAAATTTTTTTTTGATAATGATCAAAAAGTAGAACAATAAAATAAAATTTTTTTGTTCTTCGTTTATGTAACTATTACCTCACTACCTTTTTTTTTTAACTCAGACTTTTTTTTATCTAACTGATACCTCACTACATCCTTTTTTTTTTTTTCAACTCAGTACAATTTTTTTGCTTGACAAAAATTTTTCATGGTCTAAACACTAGACAATAATAAAGTGAAAACTGATAAACACCTGTGTTACAGTAAGATTCATAAATATCGTTAATGTAACAAATATATAATATAAAGAGTACAAAGCGCTAAAATTCATGGTTGTAAGAGGTAAAAAATGTTGACGCCATTATTAATTAGTGGATGAATAGTGATCTTCTCCTCAGCAATGCACCAGATACCAATAACGTTTTGGGGAGCTCGAGACTTTCATTAATGCCACTTGTCAGGGGTGTGTCCTTGCAACAGATCTCACCACCTGCACTTTACATCATGTTAATCAATATTGCAATATAATAAGATTACACTACAAAAGTTAGAAGTCCCAAACCCTATCTCAGTTTTTAATAAAGCTACAACATTCTTAGAGATTTTGTGAGCGTGGCGAGGGATGCGCGTGGTGTGGCCATAAATAAATATGTAAATACCTAGACATATAGATAACATGTGCACTTACACTAGAAGAGATAAACATGTACACATGCATGTATGCGCATGTATTAAAATAAACAATTGTAATGTATAAAAATAGTGCAAAACTAATAGAATTTATAGTAAATTTTATTTATACATTTATATTATATTTATATTAAACATTTATATATATATATATATTTATATTATATTTTATATATATATATATATATATATATATATATATATATATATATATTTAGATTAAATGTTTTAGATTAATTATATATATATATATATATATATATATATATATATATATATATATATATATATATATATATTTTAAATTAAAAAATATATAAAAAATAATAAATAGTCAATATTAATTATATATGTATTTATATTAAACATTTATAGCAAATAGTAATAAACAATAAAAAGTAGTTTTCTGCTGTTATATGTCTTATTAATATAATAAGTAAATACAACTCATAAACATCAAAACTACTTTTAGATGGTTTGTGGTTAATACAAAAGTAGTTAGTAGAAAATATAGTAGAGAATGTGGTAACTCGGATTGTGTGAGACAATAGCTTTCATGCAAAACAGACTCAGAGTAATAAAAAAATGATAAGCAAGAGGTAAATAAAATTTAAAAACATTAAATCAGTTGGCAGAGAATAGTGAGAAAATAAACAGATAAGACAATAAATGCAATTTATATTAACAGTTTTGAACCACTGAAAAATGTAAGGTTAAAATAATGTTGTTGAAAAAATGACCAAAAGAACATTTGTGTAGTATATGACTGTATAGTGCAAACCACAACAAACTAACTTAGCAACGTCAGATTAACAAATTTAAACAAAAAGGAAAAACCTAAAGAGATAATGATTTTATCTGAATTTATCTAGTAGAATAGTTCATTAGATTCCAACCAAGAATTGTCCAACATTTGTTGTAAAAATAAGCTACATATATCAGTGTTATTCTTGTCATTTTTGCTATCCAGCCTAATAATTGTAATGGAGGTCTGGTGTTAAGTGTTCTTTTAGGTCTAGCCCTGGGCAGGGTATATGAAGCTTCTTGACTTACATTGCTTTATGCAGTTGTTTTGCTCTCATTCATCTGTTTTTGGTTATGGTTTGGGTTTTGAGTATTGTTATGTGTTTTTATTGGCAGGTTTTCTAGTATAGCATTTTCTTGATTACTCTTTTGTTAAACTATATTTGGTTAAAGAACATCTACAACTGCGTACGTGTATTTTCTGGTTCAAACACGTAAAAGTGCTGATAAAATGAGCGCTTGCCTAACTAAATAGAATACCAAGAAATAAATATGACCTGAAAAAAGCGCAAAGTATATACATATTCAGAAAAGCGTTGTCATTCTTTGAACCCCAGTTAACCGGCTGTCTTCTTTGGTCAATTATTTGTATGTCTATTGGTATTTTTGTATAAAAATTTTCATCACTTTTAGCAAAAAGAGCTATGACCCTGTACTGGTGTGGAACGATGTGGAATGATGTGACTATGAAATGATGTGAAGTGAGATTTTAGATCTGAGCACATAGTCAGGAAGCTCATGTGCTTGGATCTAAAAATGACTTTGTTGTTAAATTCCCTTTATTTATATATATATATATATATATATATATATATATATATATATATATATATATATATATATATATATATATATATATATATAAATATATATATATATATATATATATATATATATATATATATATATATATATATATATATATATATTAATGAAGGATGTTGCTACTATTAACTGAGGGTCAAGGTTCAAGCATACCTAGACATATAAATATCATGTACACTTACACTAGAAGAGACAAACGTATACATATGCACATATGCGCATTTGTACTTGCTTTATTACTGGGCTAACAATCCATGCTCAATAAGTAGGGTAGAGGGGAGAGTATTATTACAAAGGGAACATTGGTACACAAATTTAGCTGTTTTAAATTCATTTCAACTTTTGAAACAGTATTTTTTATAATTACTTTTTTCTCTGAAAATATAGTTAGGCTTTATGCATTTGGTAACCATGGTGTGTTGTGTTTGACAAATACGGTATTTTTATTAATGTTTTATTAATTTTTATTAAATTTAATGTTTTAATAACTGTAAATTCAAATTTAACTCTAAAACTACAAAAAAAAAATTTAAAAATTGAAAGTTTTTTATTACATAAAATAGTATTTCAATTTGAAGCACTCACTTCTGAAGGGTGAGAATTGGTACATTTAAATCGAGAAGCTTTGGTACCCAATTTTGAAATTCTGTTCTGTAGATTACATACAAACTTAGTACCATACGATGCGAGAAAATATATTTTAATGCTTTAAATGACTTTGTAATGCTGTTTAGATACTAGATAAGTAAATATATTATTAAGTATACAGAAAAATGCCACGAATCTTCACAAGAAAAACAAGAAGATGCAACTTATCGGAAGATAAAGTATGCGTTGCATTCAACATGATATTAAAAGATAAGAAATCTATCAGAGATAATGCTAAAATCAACAACATACCTCTTATGACTCTATTTAACCAACTTAAAAAATACAAAGATTCTTCAAAATTAGAAGAGATAAATAAGAAGGTGTATACATTTAGTTCTAAATACACGAATTTGAAAATATTTACAATTCAGCAAGAAAAACAGAAAAAAAAAGTTGAATATTTGATTAGAAGTAGTAAGATCCAAAATAATCTTATTTATAAACAAGTAGTAAGATCCAAAATAATCTTATTTATAAACAAGTAGTAAGATCCAAAAACAAGAATCCTATATTTGAGTCTTGATATTAAAATTGACAAATCTTGGTCAGATAATTTGCTGGAGTAGACTGGATAAAAGGATTTATGAGATGGCATCTATCACTTTGTTTATGCAAGCCTGAAAATACCAGTCTTTTATGAGCAACAATCTTTAATCAGGTCAATGTATCCAAGTTTTTATTAATTATGAAAAAGCATAGCAAAAACATAAAATTCCACCTAACCGTATTTTCAATTTAGATAAGAAAGGAGTTTCAACAGTTAAGCTTACTCCTTGTTTAGTTGCTCCTAAGGGAATAAAGCAGGTAAGACAAGCTGTATCAGCAGAATGAGAAGAATTGATCACATTTTGAAATGGCAACACAATCCCACCAGTTTTTATATTTCCTTGAATTTGCTTTAAATAAGAGTTTTTAATTGGAGCACCAAAGGGTAGCCTAGAATTATCAAACCCATCTGGTTGGATTTATATGGAGTTTGCTTCATTAAAGTTTTGAAGCATATCCGAAACCACATTAACTGTACAAAAAATAATGCTATACTTATTTTATTAGACAATCATGAATCCCTTACTTCTCTTAAAGCAATTTTGTTTTGCAGAGAAAAGAATTGTATTTGTAACATACCCATCACACTGTACACACTGATTTCGAATTATATGATCCATTTAAATGGAAATTGAAAATTGCTTTAAACGATTGGATGCTAAATAATTATGGTAAAACTATGGTATAACCATTTATAATTTGTCTGCAATAATTACCACATTGTATTTAGGAACATTTTCATTAAAAAATATAATACCTGCACTTTTAACTGGCCTTTTTTTATAGATAACTTTTTTCTGAAACTGATTTTGACTCATATATAACAGATCGACCTGATCCAAATACAGGTAGGAGAAAAACCTCCTTTCATAACTGTTGCAACAGAAAGAGCAGAAGCATCATAAGCTGCTGTAAATAATACACTACCAGGAACTTCATTAAGTCCAAAAAGGATAAAAAAAACTTCATTAAGTCCAAAAAGGATTCGCCCGCATCCAAAAGCTGTAGGAAGTAAGCAAACTAACAAGGGGAAAAAAAGAGGAAAACCTAGAATACTAGATTTTAAAAAAAAAGACTTGAAGATAAAAAATTTAAAAGACTCTTGAAGCAAAAACCTAGTGTGTAAACACAATTTTAAAAAAAAGCAATAACTCTGCAGATTAGTTTATTATTCAGTTCTAATAAAAGCCATGATAAATTTTTTTACAAAAGGTTTAATACATTTGTTATGTTAACCCAATTAAAGATCTTGTTATGTTAACCCAATTAAAGATCTTGTTATGTTAACCCAATTAAAGATCTAATTTCTGGTTTGTTGAACATTGGTTTGTAGAGTTTTGTTATAGTAAAATTTTCTACAAAAAAAGTACTCATTATATCAGGCTTTCTTGATAATAATGAATTCTTCATAGATATTATGAAAAAAGTATCATTTACAAAATTTATTTTTTCCTAAGGTTTCTGATTAAAGCATTGTCAGTTTAAATGACATTATTGGTAAATTTCCTAATCCAAAATTCATACCGGAAATGCACAGGCTCTTTTCAAGAATTCAACATTGATTATTCAATGTATAATATAAAATAGTTACTTGAAGAAAATGCTTACCTTATTATTTTTTTTTTTTGGTCATATTTACATTTTATTGATATATTTATAAAATATTTTGTTGGATTTAAAATGAGTTTTATTTTTCATTAAAATTATATTTATTTTTAATGGAACTTGTTACTGTATTAATGTAAACACATTTTGATATTTTTTACTTTTTGTTAATATATTTATGAAATATTTTGTTGGTTTTAAAATGTATTTTATTTGCCATTAAAATTCGAAAGTATTGTACTTAATCATTAATATTTCTAAACATAAATTATATTAAAATGTTGCTAATACATTGAAAAAAAAATTTAATTACATTAAAAAATTATTGTTTTTGATTTCTTATGAAATTTTTCCATTTCTTTTAATTTCTTTTCGAAATGTACCATTGTTCCACTTCTTCCCTAAATATAAACCAGATGAACTTGTTACCAAGCTAGCTATCATCTGAGATCCATAACTTTTACTGCACATTATTTGGTTTTTGGGAACCTGTTTCATGAAGAATTCCAATAGATCAACTGCCAGTTATCAACTGCATCATAGAGTTGCATGTGTCATACAAAAAATATCTACATGTCTACAATTAAACAAATATGGCATGTGTTCAAAATTTTGAAGGATTTGCTTATCATTGGATTTATTTATCATCCTCATGATTTTATTTCTATTATATTGGCTAAAACACAGACTTCATCTGTGTTTTAGCCACCATATCAGCTGCAAAATTTGTGCTACTAAAACTAGGCTGCTCATCAAAAAAATTGTTTGCCTTATTTTCATGTCTACCAATCTGTTAAAGAAAATTGTTTCGATTGCCCATGTAGCCCACAAGTACCCAATCTTAAATTCCAAGAAAGGCTTAATGAGTGTATTCTTATCCAGTTTCTTATAGTTCCAACATATTGTAACTCTAGGGGTGTTCTATTTAGTAGCACTCTCGGCCTAATAATCTCAGATAAACCAGACTGCTCAATAAAAGATACTAAAGCAGATCATCTTGGCTATGCACCTTAATGACAAGCTCATTGCATGATAGATCAGCAGCTACTCTAGGAAAATAAGGTCATCAATTTCTGAATTTGGGTGGCACCCAAATGCATAAAAGTTAATAGCTTCTGGATAAAAGATAAAACAAAGCAATTAATAAAAACAATAACTTCACTATTCTTAATCGTTTTGGGTTTCCCCAGAAGTAACTAAAGCTAGCAAAAGCTCTGAGGTGAATATATTGCAGCTGGTCACATAACATATTACTTTGCATATTATCTTTAGCATAATATTTTTAGATAAACATAGGTTTGCTTGCAAAGAAAACTTTAAATAAAGCAATGATTAATCGTGAGGAAAAGCTCCTCAAAGATTTTAAATTTTATTCAAAAAAAGGAAGGCTTGGTTCAATTTAATTTAATTGGTTCAATTAAAGCTTGCAATTGCACTGCTACAATGGATATCAATACAATCTGCTCTACCATATTTTCACCCTGTCTTTAAAATAGTTGAAAGTCTTTAAAACAGTTTAAGTTGAAAGCAGTATGCCAACATTTGGCAATCATGCTCAAGCAACATGCGCAATTGATGAAAACCCTCAGTCAATAAAGCCGCAACTCACTCTGCATGTTCGCCTTACCTCAGTTGATGCTTCCAAGTGCCCTGTTGATCGATGTTTGATCAATGTTTGTCTTATTGTTTAGTTGGAATAAGTCGCTGTCCAATGATCCATAAATGGATTAAGAAGCAAGATTCCATAGAATGGAATAGAAGCAAAGAGTTCATAGTAAACATGAATAAAATAAAAGTCAAGCTTTATAAATTTAAAAATGAGCAGAAAATACTAGAAAATGGCTATGTGGAAGTTTTTTTTTTTTTTTTATTTTTTTTTTTAATTCACCTCCTCAAGGCCGAGAAGGCCACTACAGACGAGGAGGCTACTTATTTGTGGTTATAACCCTCTCTCAACTCTATAACTCCGAAACACGAACCTTGATGAGCGAGGCCGCTGCGCGGAGAAACGAGTTAAGCGCGGTACTACCAGGGACGTGGTGGGGATCGAACTCGGAACCACTCGTTTATGAAGCGAGCGCTCTACCACTACACCACTACCGCATTTACTCGCAGTTACTCTTAAATAGATTGTTTGTACAGTTTGTAAGCAATGTTGTAGTATAGCCTTTTAATATTGTCTAAAGACCGTACCAAATAAATGAAAAAGTTGGATTTCCCATGTATAAGAAAATTTAAAAAATTATGCCAACAATTACATTACTATAATGTAGTACTATTTAATGATTTTTCAAATTTTAAGAAAATCAAGAGCTCGGCTGTATTAACTATACCTAATAAGCAGCATGTTTTTGAGGCACCTTGTATTGTTGTTAGCATAGAATTATGACTTTTATTTATAGGACTTAATATATAGTTTTTAATATAAATTATTAATAACATTATAAATATTTGTTAATAGCATAAATTTTTATTAATAGCATTATAAATATTTTTAGCTGTAAAGTAATATAAATATAATGATAAATTTAATTTTATTAAATTATAGTTTAGACAGCTTATTAGATGGTGGAATATTTACTGGAGAAATGATAGAAGTGTTTGGACCCCCTGCAGTTGGTAAAACTCAGGTAAACTAATATTTTATACAGTTATGAGGTTTTATATGCTAAATTTTAAAGTATTCGAGTTATATCATATTTTTATTTATATTCTAATATTTGATTTAAACTAACATTTGAATTATAATATAAAATATATAAATATAAAAAATATAAATACATACAACCCTCGGAATTAGAAAAAAAATGAGGTCAGCAATAATTTGCTGACCTTGATCTTTTTGAGGTCGGCATCAGGTTTGCAAGAATTGTTTGATACAAAGGTCTGACCATAAAACATAGAAACAAGGTCGGCAAATTTTTTGCCAATCTCAAGCACTTTTAGGTCGGCATTGTCGAATGCCGACCCTAATTCTGAGGTTTGTATATATAATATAAAGTATTATAAAATGAATATAATATGTAGTTAAATTAAATATAAATTCAACTCCCAATAGCTTATCACATAAATATCAAGAATGTTTACAATTTTTCAGGTCTGATTTTTAAAAATTTTAGTTAGCGCTAACATTGACAGCTGCGACCATTGAAAAACAGCACAATGTTATATACTTTGATTCAACATCCTCATTTTCTGCTGAACGTCTATTGCAAATTTTGAGTTTGAGATCAAATCTATACAGTATGCAGGTTTGTTAATTTACTGTATATATCTATATATATCTACAGCGCTCGAAATAATTATTTGAAGGTTGCCGATCAACACTGATCGGCAGAAATAATAAAAGTAATAAAGTAGACGATCAAAAAATTATCCAGACGATCAAATTTTTCTTAACTTTTTCTTTAATAGCGTACAGTTTAGGTGACGTCAAATTGTTTGTTTTACCGCTATCAACCTACAATAAATTGCGTTTTTAGAAAATTCTATTGATTTTGTGCAATTTTCTAAAATATCTTTACCTTAATGCCTTTTAGTACTAAAAAAATCTATTTTTAGAACACTAGCTAAACGCTATTGGTTTTTGAATACAACAGCGTACGTCCGCGTTATTGTTTATAGTTTTTACTTTTAAACTTAGCTCTTAATTCACTTTTTCACTTTAACGCGTTGCCTTTTAAGTGACGTAAAAATATTTTTTGTGACTCGAACAATTGTTTTTTATATAATGATCGTTTTTTAACAAAAATGACACAATAAAAAGGTAATGAACTTTTTAACCAATATTTGATTATTAAAACTTTTTTAAACTAAAAAAAGGTGAGAAAAAATAATCTCGTTTTGCGCTATTCATTACTTGATTCGTTAGATGATGAATCCAAGTCGATTAATGTTTTTAATCCTGCTTTTTTTGCTCTTTTGGAATAGCATTTTCTTACTGATTGTTTTGGCCTTCGCACGGCATCATTGGTCCATAACTCGATAGCAGAACTTAAATCAAATAAATTGGAATCTTTTTCATCGAAACTTACTCGAATTAAATTTTCTAAACGTTTCTCTTTCAGAGAGTTTCTTGTATCCGTTTTTACTCTATTCATTAGTGAAAAAAGGCGTTCAACTTTCGCATTAGAAACAGGCAAAGTAAATAATAGTTCGACAATAAGTAAAACCGGAACCCATTCATTTTTCATTGAGCTAGAAAAAATTTGATGCCATAACTTACGATAACCGGTATTATGTGGTGCTAAATATTTTACAGTGTAGTTTACCAAGCTATGCCAAGCATCCCAAACATCATTTACAGTTCCTGCAAAACCAGCATGTCGCAACGGCGCTCTATAAAAGTCAAAAAGATTTTCTATTCCTTCATCCAGGAATGTTTCATTTTCAATACTTTGAAGCCAACCTTCTGTATTTAAAACTTTTGTACCATACATATCAGTAATAGTATCGCTTGTTTCCAAACGCTCTATGATTGAATTTGTTACCAACTCGATATGAATAGATTTAGACTTTTTTACTAAATGTTTAGCATTTACAAAGTCGTTAAGTGCAACACCCTGGAAATAAAACTTTCCTTCTTTTTCAGTCACTTTGGCGAGAAAACGTTTTACTGTTGGCAAATTAATAAACTTTGTTTTTTGAATACGATTTAAATGGCTTTTAGCTTGTTGAACAAACCCTGATGAAGCCAACACATCTATCTCATCACTTTGAAAACATTTTGACAACATCTTTGCTGGTGCTAAAATCTCAATAAACAACACGATATATAGGGGCATTCTAGCATGAATCCACTTTTTGTGGTATCCTTTAAACTTAGCTCTTTCAGCATTGGTAAATGTTATATCTTCAGTCATATTTTCCAGATGTGTTAAATAAACACCGTATTTATCTAAAATCATTTCTAAAGCCTGAACTTTATGTGAAATCCATCGTGTACCTAAAAATGAAACAAGATTATACAACTTATAATTTACTTTATACTTGCAAAAACTAAAAATATAGGCGTCACGCATAACTGTAATTAGGTCGGTAACCACCAATGTTATATTCATCATCTTCTAAAATAGAAACGAGTTCACCCAACTGTCTTAACTTTTTGGGGGATTTTTTGTAAATGTAATGCATTTTTAAAATCATGTAATCAACGTCATTGAATGATGCTGTTTTTCCTAATTTTTCTTTTAATGATAACTCGAGACGATGTGCTACACACCAGCCAAACGTGATCCAGGGGACTTCAGCCTTGAGCAACATTTTAACGCCCGACTTGCTCCCTCTGTTAACGGATGCGCCATCCGCACCAAATCCAACTAGTTTTTTATTGCAATTTACGACTTCTATATTCTCGAGTGACTTTTTTATGGTGTTGAAAACTCCGTGCGAAGTTCATCCAATAGTGAAAGAAAATCACATTCAACGTTTACTTCAGATTTTCCAGTTGGAGCCGGATTAAAAGTAACGGCAAATATAGCTTCTTTTTCCTTAATTGAAACGTCATTAGAACCGTCAATTAAAATAGTGAAAAAATTTCGAGTATTTAGTTTATTTTTGAGATCTATCGCTAAACTAAGAGCAATGTAGTCAATAAATACTCCGCATGTGTTTTCGTTTTTATAAGCCTGACCAAAAACTACACCATGTTTCTCTTCTAATTGAATTATTTTTGGGTATAGGCAAAGCGATAGTTCTTCTTTTGCTATAAAGTAAGCGACCTCAAATTTTTTTTTTGTCAAATCCAAGTCTTTACTATTCATGGTTTGAATACCGGATAAAATGTCTGTTTGCCGCATTTCCTGCTGCAACTCGTTTAGTTTTTCAATTCGATCGCACAAATTCATGCCTCTCGTTTTCATAAAAATCTCAAAAGCCTTCTGATGAGACATTCCCTCTGCATGCGTGATTGCAGAACTATGTTGCAATCGACTACATCCTTTTCCTCAGCTCCATTCCGGAGTGTAGCCTTTTAAAATCTGAATTTGCGATGCATATTCTCGGCATACTTTGCATTTTAGCGCTGTAACTATTCCGTCAACGCTTTCAATTTCAAGCCAATCATTAGCATTATATTTTGCAAGCGTAGAGACTTTCCATTTATTAGCTGTTTGTAATTGTAGCTTTCTGTCATAAGTTTTTAGTTTTTTCTCAGCGGGTGTTCCAGATACTAAGTTTCTTTTAAAAGAAATAAATGTTTGACGCTTTTTGTATGCTTCCATTTTAAGATTATTTTTAAACTTACCATTTAATTTCTAAAACTTTAAAACAAAAACTGTTTCTTTCAATTTAAATTGTCACGATGATTTCAAAATGAAGTTTTCCAACGAATCACAAACTTGCTTTGTTCATTATTTTTCAGACAATCAAAGAAATGTTAACCTTTCTAGTTATTAATTCATTTTATTCAAATGAATTCGCTTTATTAAAATAATTCTTTTACAGTTAATAAACTTTCGAACTGAAGACTGTTACGAAATCAACGCTATGTTTATTCCACCAATTAAAAGCATTATTAAGTTATTTACAATAAACTTTGCGCTTCTTTTTAATTACCATTTTTAATGTGAACTAAAAGATTATTATTGGTCTAAAAACTTGTTTAATTCAGCAATAATGAACATATTTTTTTTAATGCTAATTTAATAAATCTAAGATTCTTTTTTAAATGTTAAAAAATTTTTTATTCTAATGTGTGACATGCAATGTAGATGATCAAATTTGATCGTCCATAATTAATTTTGGGAGTTCAAAATTTCATTTTTTCCAAAAGTCGACGATCATTGATCGTTGATCGGCCGTTATTTCGAGCGCTGTATCTATATATATATATATATATATATATATATATATATATATATATATATATATATATATATATATATACAGGAGTGTACACTTGAAATTTTGGTTGGTCGCCAGAAAGATAACTGAAAGTAACCAGTTTGTTAATGTTAGTTGTCCACTGGTGTTTCAAATTGCCAGTCACTAATTTTTTATAAAAAAAGTTTGTATTCAGCAGAGTTCTTGCATAATCTAGTCTATTTTTTTTATAAGGCTATGCACAGTGGGCCAGAATTCACTTGTATGGGGCAAAGTTAATAACTTGTCATATTAAAAAGATTAAGAATCATTTTTGCAATGTTTAATAATTTGAGGATTGCAGTTTAAATGGTGAGATTATTTTTAATTTTGGGTTGCTATGGATACCTTAATTGCTTAGCAAC